AATTTACATAAAATAGAAAATTAACAGAGATTGGCCTTGTTTGACCAGCTGTTAGAAAATTAACAGAGATTGGCCATGTCTGACCAGCTGTTAGTATTAGCTGTTTTGACTGACTGATAGTTAGCGGTTCTAAAAAAAAATTTTGGTTAAGTAACTGATTAATTTGTAAAATTAGTTGTTTTTACTAATTACCAATATTTTAACTACTTTTATCATTATCAATATACTTTAAGATTTTTTTTAAATAACTGTAGTTATAATTACTTAAATGCAAAAATCATTTATATTTTTAATACTTAATAGAGATAATAAGTGCTAAGTTTATTGCTTTCTTTTTTCTTAATAATGTTTATGTTAACGTCCAAAACAATTTTTGTGCTTCAGTTTTTTTTTTTAGTTTTTACCAACATAAGAAAGCAATATAAATATCTTATTAATAGTGTGGTTAGCAAAAAGCTGTGTTCAAACGCTATTACATGTGGCGTTTTCCAAATTAGCTTTTCGGATGAAAAAGCCAACTAAAAAAGCCAAGTTACCAAACATAATTATTAAGTGGTCAACAAGTCAAATAAGCTGAAAATAGTCAAACAGCTAAAAATTGGCTAAAAAACCAATTACCAAACTCAGCCATTGTCTTTCACTTTTCTTAATCCACTTAAATCACGTAGTTTTTATCCATGGAAAATATATTGACATGGTACAAAACAGATTGATTTGGTATCACACTTTTAGAATGATTATCAACTAAGTTTGGCATGCAACAAAATTTTATACATCTTTATCGATTCAAATTATAGTTAAAGGACGAAACCTAATAAACATATTTAAATCTCACTAATTGAACTACGTGGAAAATTATATATTTCATTCACATATCTATATCTATATATACATATAACGATTTGTATATATCTTAAATAGTAACTAAAATCTAAAAAAAAATTACCTTTATTAGTACATTTTTAAAAGTGGTTATTAATCATTTGAAATTTAAATTAAAAAAATCAATATAATTAATAGACAAAATTATTTTGATCAATATTGCGGCTATTACATGTATTAGTTGCATGATTTAAATTTTGTATATAAAAATTTCGTATCTATCTTAAACAATATGAGAACTTTTCATTATGTTTACAAGATAAATATTATTCTTTTCAAATAATTGGTTGAATTGGTATACATAAATTGTATGAGACGTAATGTAAGAATAATTAAATAATAAACATTACGTTTGATAAAGACCAAAAGAAAAGAAATATATATATATATGTGCGTGTGTGTGTAATCTTTCAAATAATAACACATGGTTGAATAAATAATTATTTTTTAACATGGAATATAAAAAATTATTTGTTGTTAAATGATATTATTTTAAATATTATAAATTAGGGTAGAATTATCTCATAAAATAAATTATAAATTTACATTGGTACAATTTATTTACTATATAATATTTTTTACGGTAATTTATTTGAAAAACTTTTAATAAAAAATATAAAGTAATAAGTGACATTAAAATGATAAAGTAACGAATCATCTTTTAAACTAATATATAATCTCATGCATTTAGTTTCCTATATTCAATAAGATTTTCATGCATTTTGTTAAGTTCTATTACACCTTCATGTTCATTTCATAACAACGTTTGGCAGACAAATAAGCTAACTTATAACCTATTTGGTTAGCTTATAAGCTCCATATATTCAAATAAAATTCGTTTGTAGGATTTTTTTAAAAAAAGTTCGAACTTATTTGAGAAGTTTCTTTGGGTTGCTTTCTAAATAAGTCGATGAAATTTTTATTTCAACTAGCTTATCAGTTAATTTTACCAAACACTTTTATCATATAAGCTAATTTTTCAGCTATAAATCATAAAATATAAGCTATAAGATCAAATTACTATAAGTAATAAGCTAGCTTATCCCTTATCATCTATCAGCTAGTTTATCAGTTAGTTTTACCAAACATATCTATATATAATTCTCGGATACGTTTAGTCTGAGTGGATTCTCTCACGCTTTAAAATTATATGTGGCAAAAAACCATATGTCGGAGTCAAACTTGAATATAAATTAATATCTTTATACAAAAATAAGTAGGTTTAAATTTCATTTAATATCTATATTGTTCACATTAAGTCTTAATTGATCTCTTCTTTCTTTTCTTCTATAATTAGTTACTATAAACTATTGTAAATTTTCTTTTCCTACATTACCTTATATAACATTTCATTTTCTTATGTAATTCATACATAAATTATTATAAATGTTTATTCAACTTGTTTTTAAAATTTTATAACTTTTTTTGTTTGTATTTTATTTTTTATATATGATATATTACATTATTTATCTTTTAACGATCTTCGGTTTATATTATATAAAGAAATAGAAATTATGTGTGTTAATATACCATAATATAGATATTTTATTTGAAAAAAATATATATAAACTAACTATAAACATCAAATTAATATAAAAATATATTATAAAAGTTTATGTATCGATTTAAATAAAGATTACATAGAAATTGAACATTATGATTGTGAAAAAAAAAAAGAGTAAATAAATATTATAATTAAAAATATAAAAAAAAATATTTCATAAAGTTTAAAATATTACACTCATACACATTATACTTTAAATTGTTGAATATTATAAAGTTGAAGATACTTTAAAAAATTTATATCAAGGAGAAAAACTGAATAAAATATAAAATTACAATATTATCAAACTTTATAATAAAAATTAAATTAATTCAAAATTGAAGTATCGAGTTGTATATATACATATATATGTGTGTGTGTGTGTGCGCGCGCGCGTGTGTGTGTGCATGTGCGTGTGCGAAAGGGAAGGGGGTTAAGAAAAATACCATTTTGACAAATTAAGTAAAAATAAGGGTACGAATTTAAATAATTAATTTTGTCATTTTTAAGTTATTAGTTGTATAATTAATTATTATCAATGTATATTTCTTCAGTTCTTTATTTCGATACAAATATTTAACTTTCAAGCACACGTGATGTTCACGGGTGTTATTATATGCGGAATAAATTAATATTCTATTTTATTTTGATAAAAATAAATATATATTAAATAAAACAAATAATACTATTTAAAACTATTTTCAAGAATTCAAAATAATACTAAAAAAAATTACTTTCTTATTAATTATTTATAGTTTCTTTATATCACAATAAGAATTTTATTTTTTTCACTTTTTTGTTGGATAATTAGTTTTTTATGAAATACCCATGTAGTTCACGGGTGTTGTACCAGTATATATATATATATGTATATATACACACACATATACATATGTTTATACAATAATGCTAAGGCGGAGCCAACAACCAATGCATGAGGCTATCCCACATTAGAGTCATGTGGGACAGCCCCACATGGAGCTATCCCATTGAATGTTGGCTCCATAACGGAGCTAACAGTTGGCTCCTTAGCATTACAGTATCTTTACATACTATTCCATCAAAAAAACTTTTTTTTCACCCTTACATGCACATTCTTTTATACATTCTTTCATGGATTTTTTTTTTCACCCAACAACTGACAAAATTATATATGTGATATAAAGAAAATAGCATATCCATCAATAAACTTCTTTTTTATCCCCACAACTCACGAAAATATATGGAATACAAAAATGGCATATCCAAATGAACCGTATAAATAACAATATGAGAGATATTGTCGTATATATATCAACGCATATCCAAATCGGATGGATAGTTAAATATTATGTGAAATACTTCCGCATATGTTACAATAACATATCCAAATCCACCACATAATTTACGATATGTGAAACTGTTTCGCATATCCTGAAAACGCTCCCTAGTCGAGGTCTCTCCCAAGTCTAGGTTCGGGTTGCTAGGTGGAAATTTGTCCGCACGATCACCTTGTGATTCAGGAAATGGGGTCTCAACTTTCTTGTGGTGATGACCAGAGTGAGTGCAACCTTCTCCACATTCGAATATCTAACTTCAGCTCCTTGTAACACCTTGCTTGTGTAATACATACGTTGGTGAGAATCTCCCACTTCTCGCAGCAGAACCGAGCTCAACACAGTTAAGCCCACTGAGATATACAACACCCAGTCGTCATTTGGCTCTGGCTTGGTTAGCAATGGCAGCTCGACTAAAAAAATCTTCACCCTGTCAAAGGTGACATGTGCTTCTTCACTCCATGTAAATGTCGATCTCTTCTTAAGTATCTTAAAGAAATGTAAACTTCTCTCGGCAGCTTTCACGATGAACCTACTGAGGTGACGGACCAGTCAAGACTTGTACTTCTCAAATGTTCTTTGGTGGTGCCGTGTCCAGAATGGCCTTCACCTTGTCCTGATTCACCTCAGTACCTCTTTCAGTCATTATGGGTTTNAAATTTTAAAAATTATTTTAATTTAAACTTAAATTCTCTCTAACAACTAATTATATCACCTTTTTCAAAATGAACTATGGTTAAAAAAAAAAAGACAATCAAATTCATATCATCACACCCTATATATCCTAAAAAAAAATTATACTTTCACCCCAAAGGTGCATTTAGCAGGATTCAATAAAATCCTAAACTTTTTTTTATGAAAGGACTGGTAAAGATTGTCGCATGTGTGCAAGTTACAAATTAAACTCTATAATTAAACCTATGCGCAACAGAACCAATGTTTAGCGTAGAATACTTACGGCTTAAAATTTGCAGAGACGCTGTAGATTTCATTGGTCTCATCAACCTCGGAACACACTGAGCAATCATCATCTAGAATCCTCTATACGGAAGGGTGTCCTCGAGCTCTCCCTGGTTACTTTTCTTCCACCTTGGCCTGCAGCTCCAGCATGCCAAAGTCTTCGAAAATTAAGCCAAGTTCCGCGATTTCATTTTGAAGCCTAAGTCCACTTTTGAGCCTACATTATTGCCTAGCCTAAGTCCTTTAATATTCTTTTTTTCTCCAAGTCCCTAAGACTTTGTGTTAGGCCTTGAATACCTAAGCCCTAAGCCTAATGTCTCGGCCCACGTTATTAAGATCCCAAATTTTGGCTTAATCACACGGTCCTTAGCATACTTCAGCCTTTAAGAAATGTCGTTTTGAAATTGAAATTTATATGACCCAGTCCATGTGACCCCACTTCTCTCGCTTTATCGGATTTTTATTTCCACCAGCTCAATCCTCAACTACCTCAGCTCCACCCTCGATCAACACCCCAAGCATGAAGGGAGAATTTGAATTTTTCTCCCGACAGCCCAAAAGATTAGGTCCCCTACCCGTTAAACCAGCCACCCATCTTCACAGCCATCAACCACCACTTCACACCTTAAAGTTTCAGAAATAGAGTCCCTTCAGGCCACAAATTTCCGAGCAAACAGCCGCACCATCTCATTCACAGCGAGCCGAGTATAGCCGAGAGCCTAAAACCATAGCCGAGTCTTCTCGTCTTTCGTCATTTTGTCCTAAGTCCAAAAGCGGTAATGATTGAGAGCCTTAGGGGGTGATTGAATATGAAATCAACTAGTAAAAATTATTTTTTTTTAACTATAGTTAAGTTTAAAAAAAGGTGGTATGATAAATTGTTAGTGAACATATTAGAATAATATTTAAAATAAAATAATTAAAGTTGATTTGATATAAAATTAGGAGAAAATGATTGGAAGTGATTGTTAGTAAAAATTATGAGAGTGGATGTTGGGGTAGAACAACAAGCACAACAGACAAAAATAACCCTACAACAAATATGACAACTACTAACGAAAATAAACCAACACAAACAAATAAAATATGAGAAAGAAAAAGAACACAAAAAGTAATAACAGAGTTCGGCATATATTGCCTACGTCTCCGGGCACCGCCAACCGCAACGCCAAATTATTAAACTCACCAACAAAATACAACTAGTGTTAAATAACCCACAAATTAGCATTTCTTAAATAAAGATTTCCTTCTAAGATAGAAGGTAATAGAATAAGGTGCAATTGTAACCTAAAAGCAAGGGACATATTTATGCTAAAAGGATCTTACACATCTTTGGTACACATCCGATGTTGGACAACAGTTAATCAAAATCTAACTTCTCCACATTAACTAATTTTGCTCCCATTTCGACTCTTCAATACAAATCAACTGCTGTCGGTGCCTCCAAATGCGCCTCTCGGCGCCAACTCAAATATCCAGAATGTTGGTCAAGTCTAAACAATGTTCAAACTTGACTGTTTTCACTACTTTGGTCATCCTGCCGGATTATGCGTCGTCTTGATCTTCATCAAGTTAACGGTTCCATCTTCTAGAATCTCCAACATAAAGTGATAGCGAACATCAATATGCTTCGTTCTAGCATGAAATACTTGATTTTTCGCTAAGTGAAGCGCTCTGACTGTCACAATGCACTTAGACGTACTTTTAACCACCTCTCAAATCTTCAAGCAAACTTTGAAGCCAAATATCCTCCTTCACATCTTCAGTAACCGCCATATACTCTGGCTCTGTTGTAGACAAAGCAACTGTTAACTGTAAGGTTGACTTCCAACTGACTAGAGCTTTTGCAAAAGTGAACAAATATCTAGTCGTTGATCTTCGCTTTTAACTGTAAGGTAGACTTCCCATTCTATTATGATCAGTACATCTCAACAACAATTCAAGTATAATGGTTCATAAATTAGCCAAGTATAAAATGGTGGCTAAATTGCATTTTCAGTCCTACTGGTTTAATGTCATAGCAATTTTAGTCTTAAGCTTCTAGCATTTCGTCTTTTGGTCACGTGATTTAATATTTTGTTGCAATTTCAGCAATTCGAGAACTGAAATTGCAACAAATTCTCAAATTTATAGTTTTTTATTAGCAATTTTAGTCCTGCAATTTAAAATTTTGTTGCAATTTCAGTCATGTAATTTAATATTTTGCTGCAATTTCAATCTTTTGAAAAACAAAAAGTTGGAACCTTGAAACTAATATTACTATAACATTAGACGAATACGACTAAAAATGCATTTTTGCTAAAATGGTCAAATCACATGAAAAATAGACATGTTGATTTGAACTTTTGAAATGTAAGGGAGGGATTATAATTTATATGTTACCATAATTAGATGGATTGATGGCGGCATCATAGCTGAGCCAGTGAGCATGACCAAGAACAAAAGTCTAGCCTTTGAGAGTCGACGTCAGGTTCCGGAGCATAGGGGCAAGATCGTCATTAAACATTATTGCGACCTCGTTAACCTCTTCGACACACTCCCCGTTGTGCTTCACCCACCTCGTCGTGGAGGGAATGCACCCGATTGGCCGATTTCAAACATTATCACCTTTCGAGCTCCCAAACGGTACAATTTCTACCCACAACACCAAAAAAATGTTATTTTATATCGAAAAGTAAAACACAAATCGAGTATAGAATAATTATATATACCTGAAAGTGTAGAGAATGTTTGTCGACTAGAAGTCGAGCGTAGGCTTGGGGAGTGTATCGTTTGCTCGTGTGTCGAGGTAATTGTTTATGTAGTCATTGCTGCCTATCGAGACCAAAAATATCGATTTGGCCAGATAGTTCGAGAGCTCGGTAGAGTTCGTAAAATGCTTCGGGAATTCCTCTTTCACTATCCTCTCGAAGAGCCCAACTTGTTCACCAAAATTCAGGCATTTTCCCTGGACATATATTTTTTCATACCACAAAAAATAATTTTTATGCACAGGGTCTCACAAATTCTTAAATGAGGCAGTGTAACCGTTAGACTGGTCGATCAAAAAATTGACGTACCAAATCGATTCCAGTCTCGGGAAGAATGCCACAGATGCCGATGCGAAATTCAGGCCATTTAATGTTAGCTGGCATGGATTTAACACCCTCCTTATGCTCAAATAAGGTGGGGAATATGGCAACCCAAAAC